TGGATTGATTCACATGGCAAGGAAAGCATATGAGGCGGTTCTTAGTGAAGACAAGAGGTCAATTGTTTATGGCTTGTGGACGTGATAGACTGTGGGACGAGACTTATCGTGTTTAAGGATCATTTGCATACTGTAGGAAGAATATGAGGTGCAATTTACAGTGAGGAATGAGTGCGTGATCATCACTTTCTTGCTTACAAACGAGGTTGTTCCTGTGTGCACCGGCAGCACTTAAACCCTGTCAGCATTTGATTTCCCTCTGGCTAGTGTGCTTATGCTGCAACCATTGTTGTTCTTACACCCATAAACTTCCTCTTTAGGCCCTCAGCGCACATCTGTTTGTACCACAAGCCAACAATATGTCCAGCAGAAGGGGGAATCTAGAAAGATTCTAGAAAGCTTGGATGGAAATATATGGGGCAATTTGCCGGTTATTTGCTAAGGCACAAAGGACTGGAGTTGATGGAGTTCTGTCGGTGAGAAGTTGATGGGGCCAGCTGTTCCTTCCAACCTCTGGCTGTGCATGCTAAGGAACTGTGGTTTAAAGTGACAGGCCTGAAGGCTGAGGATGATGTCCTGGTGTAAGATCAATGGGCTGTGACATAAGAGCCCACTGTTTCTCCCAGGGGGTGGGTCACAATGGTTGATTAATAAGTCTGACAATCATCTAGTTGAGAAATATTATACTTGTATTGTAGAGGTCTGAAATCTTGAGAAGTGCGATGGCTTACTCTAATAACATTATTCCAAGCAGCTAGTTTCATTTGCAGTGTCGTCCATTTATGAGCCCAGCAACACAGTTCAATAAATCCACTTCAGAAACGTTGTTGAAATAAAATATGAAAATCTCCGGTTTTATTCTTTGGTTTCCGATTTACAAAAGAGAAAATGTGAGCTAGTTAGTACACTTATTCTAGTTGCTAGTGAAAATAAAAGGTTACTAATAAACGTAGCAATACGTTAGCAGTTATCACGTAAATAAACCGTTCGCTTCCACAGCTCTCAATATCTGAGTTAGAGAATGAGAATCAACATAATGTAGCCGGAGTTGGCCTTTTCTTAAAGGGGCAGTACACTATTTTACCAAATCCCACAAGAACATGAATTTTAGTATGCTTTTAACCTTTTAAGTATTATTTAACACCTTTAACCATAACATGAACTTCTAAATAAAAATTAGTTACCTGTTTAACAGGACTATGAACTGTACTTTGGCCTCTAAATGTATATTAAAATATATACATTTATTTTTAAAAAATCTTTTCAAGAGTTTGGGGCTATAAGACTTTAATTTGAAAAGAAATGAATACTTTTGTTAATCAAGGACCCATGGCTTTGATCTAATGAGATATTGATATTGTTACCAAAGATTTCCATGTCAAATAAAAGCTGTTGTTTTGAAGTCAAAGAATCTTGAAAAAAAATATATATATTACAGACTGACTGTGTTCAACTGGTATTATAATAAAAAAAAATGTTTCTTCAGCACCAAATCACTCAGCATATTAGAATTAATTCTGAAGGATCATGTGTCACTGGATTGATGATGCTGAAAATGTTAAAATATGTTCAAATTGTAATAGTATTTACAATATTTACATTGTAATAATATTTCACAATATTTTACGGAATTTTTGATTAAATAAATGAGGCCTAGGTGAGCATAATATATTTCTTAATAAAAAAATAAATAAAAAAATCTCACAACCCCAAACTTTTGATCATAAGATATATTCTATCTTTATAATAGATAAATAATGAAATTGTATTATAAATTTTATTATTATAGACTCACATCAAAGATGTGATTCACATCAAAGTACAGTAAATTTGATGAACTTCTAAGGTTTAATAAACTCTATAAAGCTGGTCTCTAAGCGAAGATGTGTCCTCGCAGCTACTCCTATTTCAGGAAACACACCGTCTAGTCTTGTTCAAAAAAATTCTGCATCATTCCCCCAGGAGACCTACAGTTATTGTCTCTGTTTCCATCTGATGTCCTCAAACCTCTATACTTGTGAAACCACGTTACAGCCTGAAGGCATCTGAACCCTAACCTTGACACCAGCCCTCTGGCTACTGTGTCTGTACAACATGCTTTGGCATCTTCAGTCTGAGCCATCTAGCTACAAGAGAAGCATACCTCTAAAGACTGGCAAAGTTCAGCTGCATGCTAGTCCTTCATTCTATCCTGCAGCAAGAGGAGAACTACAACCCTGCATAATCGGCATGCACTAGCCATGAACTCTAGCTGAGCTCCAAATATAAGCCAGCATTCAACAAAGCGGAGACACAACAGCGCAGTTAGCCGGGATCAGTTCTGCTCGGCTTTCTGCCTCTTTCATGCATTCAGCCGGACAAGCCATATAGAAATCTGCTCTGTTTTTTTTTTTTTCTTCAAATGCACAAAAATAGTATCACTTGAATTTATATTTTAAGTCTTAGGGGGGTGAATTCACAATCGCACCACTATTGCGTGAGGTATTTCAGCACAGAAAATATTAATCAATAGCCTGCACTATTGAAGATCTATGGTATGAGCCTAGCAGAGTTTTACTCAATGCAGTTCAGGATGTTTTTTAGGCCCATTTGAATGCTTTACATTTTCCGTGACAGACCTTCTTTTTTTTTTAATTCACATTTTTTTCCAGACAGTTTAAACACCCAATTTACATTCCAATTATGTTCCTTTGCTCTTTTTCCTCTGGTACCAAGCCACAAAGTCCTTCCTAATCACACGTTTTCACCTTTGTGCCCTCAGAATAAATTTTCTTTTGTTTTTTTAATGAAGGAAGTGTTCGTCCAAGCCGCACCTGTTTGAATCTGTTGTGGAATGACTGACATCTGCCTTGGCTGTTTCACATGTGCGTTCGTGCTGCGGTTGGAGCCGAACACCCTCATTTAAATTCAGTACAATCAGTTTTCATGAGCTTCAGCTGTGTTAAACCCACGGCTACATTTTGACAACTTACCAATTTTAAAAACACACCACAGTAAAGATGCTTAACAACTCTTGACACTATAGCCCTGGAAAATACACGGATAATGTGACCCGGCATTTGTTCTGGGATTGTATTATTTCGGTTATTTCACACTGCCAGTGATTTGCCGGGATATGTGAGTGCGTTCACACACAACCCGGAAAGATCCCGGAAAGACACATGACGTCAGGATGAGACGTGTGACGTACGCGTCGAAAACATGTACAAGCGCATACCGTTCCACAAAGCTGGTGAACGATCTCAGCTACTCCTGGTCTCTGCTTCATTCCAGTTTGTTGTCCATTTTTTGTCCATTCTTTGTTGATGACGAACACAAACTGCCACAGAGTCGCACGATGGCACAAGCGTCATCACTATGACACACCCCTTACAGCATTGGTCCTGGCTTTTGTTCACACAGCGCGCGTTATGGGACTGATCCCGGCAATGTTACTAGGTCCCCATCGATGCCGATATCAATCCTGGGTCGTGTTTGCGTTCACACAGAAGGCGTTCTGGCAATTTCCCAGGATCAACGCGGTGTGTGAAAGGGGCTTATGCTACATCAGAAGTGTCTAAATTATATAGATTTAAAACAGGGCCTTCATGTAGCATAAAAGTGGATGTGTTCAAGCAAAGGGTTTCATTTCAATCATCTTTTCACCGAAAAAGAGAAGACAAAAATGAGGTAACAAATGCAATATTGATGTGTTTCAGTCAGCCTTGAAAGCCAAGTTTTTTCCAAAATCGTTCACATAGGTGATGTGCTATTCACTGTTGCTAGAATATTTTAATGTTGTGGAATTATTTTCTTGATAACTAAAGTTAATTGTTGTAATGTTGATGTTTGCTTGCTGTTATGTTACGTATATATCAGTTTTAGAAGTTCAAGTGCTTCATTCTGCGCTTGGGATGTGCATAAGTGCTTTGTGCCGTGCTGTATTGGAGCCGTTCATATCATAATGCAGTGATGCAATGAAAGATTATTAATAGTCTTTCTTGTTCTGTCCTATCTGTCATATGTTGCTGCCTTATTAAAGTGTGTATGCCAGGTTAAATTTGTAATTATGATTAACACAAAATAGTTAGGGGAAAAACACGTTTGTCAAGTTGATGTATTGTTTTGTATGTTTTTCGATACCTAAAGGCACAATATAAGATGAAAAAGTTCGTTATTTTCAGTACTCACTTAAAACTGCTCCTCCCCCCAATCGAATCACTTGACGTCATAAGAGACGTCTCCCCAGATCGTGAGAAAGTGAGTCAGTCAGTGAGCTGTGTTGGTAATTGTACGAATGATAGAGCAAGAGAATTATTTGATTAATTAATTATTTGATTAGGACATGTATTTATTTAGTTATTTAAGTTAGGTAGTTAGTTAGGTATACGCAGGAAACAGGTTTGCCAACCGCAATTAAACCCTGGCTGAAGAAGAAGAAGAAGAAATGTATATATGCAGGCGTATTATCACGATGGTGAATTACTGCGTTTGTACTGGGTACCGTTAAAACCGGTCACAGAGTCCACTTTTTGATGACAGCCGCGAGACTAGCTCTCAGAATATCAGCACTTCGGCAAACCTGACTGTGGCGAGGGGGCGTGAGTCTGTAGCGGCTGCAGTAATTTTCCGTGGAGAGACCGCATATAACCGGCGAATGAGAGAGCGAGAGAGAGAGTTGGACTGGGACTTCGCACGCGGCTACTGCAACCGAGACTGAGAAGCAAGTGTTGGATCGCGTATTTGTTTATGGTGGCGAATGCGCTACTGTGCGCCTCGTTTCTTTTTTGTTTTTTCTGAATAAACGAGTCCCAGTCACGCCGACCCTGTCTTCTTTCCACACACTGAACCTCTTCACACTGACCTATTCTGATAGGCTACCGCACATCTCTACCGCGTATCTATCAGTAGTTCCGCATTAATTAATTTGCACGCGAGTTTTATTTATTTCAACCCCGTATTCTCCGTGTATATTCATGCACCGAACCGTGACGCCCGTACGTTTCGGTTCAATACGAATACATGTACCGTTCCACCTCTAAGTTATGCCTATACTTACCAAGACACCTGACCAACTCTCCACTGGTTCTCTTCATGCCTATACTTACCAAGACACCTGACCAACTCTCCACTGGTTCTCTTCACACCAGATATTTATGTTTCTTCGAATTTCTGTTTGGTTCCTCATCTGTCTCACGCCTGGGAGGCTCAAAATTGTAAGGCTGTGGGCCATCGTAGGTTTGAGGGGGATTTTGGATCTCCTCAGACTCAAAACTCTCCATACTTGAATAGAACGTTTTTGTCACATCTCCCTCTTTTGACGTCACATGCAGCTCCACTGTGTTTTAAAAATATGATCTTGACAGAAATGGCTATAAAGCTTAATGTAGGGCAATTACAGTAATAATTTTAATGATAATTACATTTTCACTCAGACATCTAAACATTATTTAATATATCTAAAAAAAAATTTAACCTGACATACACACTTTAAATAGCTGTGCTATACATTTAAAATATGTCTCAATTTTATAGTAGCCTGGGCTATATCTAAAATAATGTATCTTTTTGATTTTCGTTATCTTGTTTTTCCATTAATAAATTTTACAACAATACAAAGAGCAATGTGTAAGATTTTACCATTTACTGTTACACTTGTTGTCTTTTATTTGTTCTCCTCTAAATGTTTTTTACTATACACTAAATGTTTAGATTTTATACAATAATTGTACACTCATGATTTTTCTAGACTAAATTTTACTGCTGAATTATCCAGCAGATACCGATACTAACGCAGTTTTGTTCATAAATCTCTGTGTGTTGAACTGATAATCACTGATCGGCATCGGACAATACTCCGAATTTTTGGTATTGGATCAATTCTGAAAAAGATGGTACAGTAAGCTAAAAGTTTTGTTACCTTACAAGGCAGTTGAAAGTCTCTCTGTGATGCAGGGTTTCTGTTGTCAGGTAATTACCGGACATTGGCCGGGAAAAATTTAAATGTCCGACAAAATTAAATCTCTCCGGTTAAATTGTCTGATTAAAATAGCCTAATAATCCCGACTAAAAATCAAACTGGCTAAAATCAAAATGTATAAAGCAATAATACAATGACCTTTGGCTATGTTATAAAGGAACAGGCTCTACCGTTTGAAAGTTATTAAACAGCATTGCATGCTGCATTTCAAATAAAGTGCACGCCTAAAACGGCTGGAATATAGACCTAAACAATGAACGATTGAGTGAGACATTTCAAATATGGCCAGGCCCTGGCAGGCTAGCAGGCTACCAGGCACGCGACGGACGATGGTGAATCAGGAACATCTCATTATATAGATCAGTGGTTCTAATCTGCACACTCATACAGTTTTTTTTTTCTCTCATCAAAACTGAATAGCCTGTGTTCATCAGTGGTTACAGCCTATACCAAGCAGGGAGATGTTTGTGTGCATTTTATTTTGTGATTTCACCATAATGAATAGAGTCTCTGAAACAGAGATAGATTGAAACGCGCGTTCGAGTGAAGATTGCGCAACTCACGCAGCACAAGCACTCAGCTTGATTTCAAAACAATAGATTTTAGCGCTAGATCTCTTATTTAATAGCGAACTAAATGAATGATCTGGCAGTTAACTGGAGATGTTTACTGTACCACCGCAGAGAAACATAAAGGCATGTCAGGGTGAGAGAAAGGAGAAACGTAGAGATGATGGGTTGAGAAATGGGGAACAGAGAAATCTGGAATGACCTCCTCTCATATAGCTGTATTTTATATGCCTTTGTTTCTCTCTGTCTGACACTTGATACATAATAAATCTTTTGGCCAAAGTAACTGGTGTAGCTTCCATGCTTCCATGATTCTACACCTGTATACCTGACCTCATTTCTGCCTGATAACAGGTTTAATTGTAGTTCTTTCCTGGATTGTACAGTATGTAACAACTGCATAAGACCAAGGCCTGTAATAACTTCTTCTCAAAATGAAGTTCAACATATCATAATTACTGTTACTGATGAAATGTATAGTATTTAACTAGTATATTATTTGTCTTCATTGTTTTGGTTTCAGAGCTGTGCACTGGCTTTAACCCTTGAACGTTTCACCCCTATCAAATGCCGGTATATGTGAGGATTGGGACTCATTTTTGGATTACCAGGAAAGAAACAACCAAGAACACAACACTCAGCATGTTTAATCTCCATGCTCATTTCCTGTATAGTACTGCTGCTTAATTAGTATGCCACATCGTCGGCTTACAAAACTCCAGCAACAATACCTGTGAAATTCAATTTCCCTGAAGCTGGGTCTCTGGCTCATTTTAGCATTTTGTCATTCTGGCTTGTGCACTTTTCACTCTGATGCCTTTGTTCAGGGAATTTATTGTAATTACCATATCATATTGAAGTTAACACAGTTTTCTCCAATGTTCATTTATACAGACAGCCATCATCTTCTGGGTGAATGCAAGTACTTTTGAGATGTGCTTCTCCTCTACAGTTAGCATGACCTTGTTAGCCCCTGCTGGTAGATTGCCGTAACTACACTTTCCATAGCATGTTTACTCATTTGGCCGGAGGATGACTGGTCCCCCGACTGAGCCTGGTTTCTCTGAAGGCATTTGTCCTTCCGTCCGGAAACCAAAGGTTCCATTTTTTTTTTCTTTATTGGGTTTGAGACATTTCAATGTGGAGTCATTTCTATATCTGGTATAATCCAGAAAGTTTGTTCTGAATAACCACACAGTGAATGAGTTTCACACCGCAGTGATGATGATGGCTACACTTGGCACAGTACTTTGGAGAAAACACACTTTTACCCCTTCCACCTGCTGTAATCACTATAGCCACAATGATTGCTTTCGAACAGGTCTCAGTGATGAATGAGTGGTTTTGTTTTGCTTGTTTGTGCAGCTTGGAGTTTGATGGCACTCGTTTTGTTTACTGCTTCAAGTAGCGAGTGCCACCTAAATCACAAACAATCCTGTAATGGCAATGCGCTACTGTACTGTTTTGCAATTTTTGCGAGCACAAAAAAAGTGTAACGAGCATTTTAACACTAAAAATGCATTGCTGACCAATTTATGACCATTCTGCAACATTTACTTCTTTATTCTCAGGACTTTCTGATGAGCTGCACATTTATTTGTACAGTGCAGTATAAAAAAAAAATCGTACTCATTATTTATGTTTTGTTTTGCAGTACCAATATAAACATGCTTAAAACGAGACACATCTGCTTGAGAAACAAAATTGCACACGATTTATTTGTTTTCAAGGAAAACAAAAACCTTGAACTGTTTATTCTTCTTACCCTATTTGCATTTTTCATTTAAACATAAACCTATCTATATATTGCTTAAAGCAGAGAGAGAGAGAGAGAGAGAGAGAGAGAGAGAGAGAGAGAGAGAGAGAGAGAGAGAGAGAGAGAGAGAGAGAGAGAACCACTGGAGTAAGAAAGACAAACCTAACCCAGTATATATTCCCTCATACACGATTTCGTTGTTATTGACCCATGTAACCATGTAACCTTGCAAAAAGTGTTTTAAGATTTTCAGATAGGATATATACAGAAATTGAATAAAGTCATGTCATCAAAGTCAAACACTCCACAGTCTTTACTACATGAATTATAAATTAAATATAGATTAATCCTTAATAAAGCTACAAAAGTTATTCAGTCAAGAGCAGTGAATGATTTTCTCTCTCTCTCTTTTTTTGTTTTTGTTCTTTGATTATCCCAAGGATATCCGAAGGATACCTGACAAGACTGACAAGACGCACTCGTTGTGTGTGGGTCACACAGATAGGAGATTCACATACTTGTGCCAGTACCGCACTGCGTTGTTTTGTGTTTTATCGTGCTTGAATGGTTTAAAAGGATTTGCATGAATAACAGTGGTGTCATATATTGTTTGTAACTCTAGCCAAAGTATGATGGGAAAAAAGGAATGCTGCGTTAATTGTGAGTTAATTGTGTTAACGCCTTAAACTGAAAAAGAAAGTATATAATATATATACAAACATATATATGTTTGTATTGAACATTTATGGAGCAAAAAAACTAAACAATCACTTTGGCAAAGTTTGCACTATTGTTCTGTTTATTTGGATAAAAAAGAATACATTTTTGTTCATTAAAAATACTGTCATTAAAATATGTTAATATAAAATATATATTAAAAATACATACAATTATTTTAAAAAGTAAAGATTCTGAAAGCATTGAATGAGATCCCATAATAATGTAATTTAGATTTACAATAGTAACATGAAATCATATTTTTAATATAATATGATTAATATAATATTTTTAATATGATGGTTTCATTATAAATATGGTGATTTATCTTTAAATATTTCTTAATATTTTATATCTGAATCTAACATGTCATGCCATATCATCTAACATGTCATGTCAACAGCCAGATTTTTATTATTTAGTGTATTATTGTGCCTTTAGCCCCAACAGCAGGACTTTTCCCCCAAATACCATCATTTTACATAAAATCATTAACAAGACCTTTGTCTTAAAATACATTCAATAATTTCAGCGATTCTCATATATGCTACTTAAATCAACATTTTAAAACTATAGCGCAGAATCAATTTTGCGCTGCTGCCTGCGATAGCGTTAAGGATCAGCCAAAAATCCATTGCATCTTGAAAAGAAGATGTTTCAGAAAGTGCTGCGGCAACTTTTTGTGCTATCTAGTGGTTTAGAGGAAAAACAAATCAAAGGAGCCTTATATGTACCCTTTATCCCTCGTGTACCCTATATTTTTTTTATAGAACCAGTCAAAATTTATTATGAGAAGTTTAAATATGTTTTCTGGCCACCACAGTCTAGTTAATGAATGGGAAGCACTGCAATTTATTTGGGATGGTCAATGATTGTGGCAGGCCGCCACAAATAAATCAATGTATGGGAAACACTGATATACACACACATACACATACACATCTTTTTTTTTTTTTTTTTTTTTTTTGAAGTCTGAGACTGAAGTAGTTTTTTTGCAGGCTGGGATCAAAACAGGATGCCTGATAATTTCTCTCTTTTTCATTGAATTGCACTTGTAAAGATGTAGCCTATTTATCCCTCTCTGTTTCTTCCTTTCTCACCAGTCTAGACAAGCTCCTACTTTACAGACCTCAATTCATCACAT